CAAGTGGTGAGCACCCTTCACTTCCAACCAATAGGTTGTGAGTTCGAGTCACCCCAAGAGCAATGTGGGGAGCTCTTGGAGGGGAGGGAATAAAAAATAAAAAAAAATAATAATAAAAAAAAGGATACCAATCGAGATGGCTTTTTCAGGGACTGGCCTCTTCCCTGTGGTAACCCCTGGGATTCAAAAGAGAGAGAAGGAACTTTCATAGAGATAATGATCATGTCCTTCAAAACTGGTTAGGGAAAATCTTTAGAGATTGCAAGCTTAAAGGGGGGGGAGGCCAATCCAGTAAAAGACATCTAGGAATGTTTGTTAAATAGGTAGAGCAAAACCATCTCTTGGTGGATTCATTACGTAAATGTGTCCCCGCCTATCTCCTCAATAGGCAACTCCTTTAGTTAACATTTTCTGTTTACTAGAAGTACCTGTGTAAATACAGCCTTGGCATTAGATACTCGTAAACGGACCGCAATCTCCTGTGCAGCAAAGCTATCAGTAATTGATACCACCACAAATCCAGCAAGAACAATGGCCAAGTATATAACGACTGCTGTGGCAGTCATTGGCATGTCAATGGCAATGGCATCACCCTTTGAGAACATGTTTTCCAGTGCATTTGCCACCATCCTGTGGAAGAGACGACAAGTTTAAAATGACTTCTCTTAATTATGAGAAGAAGGGAGCATGAAGGGGGACGTAATGGCAATGTATGTATACAAGAAGACAACTTATGATCAAATTATTTTGCCTGAAGACAGTATCAGAAAAAACAACACAGAAGGAAGGAAAATATATCATATCCGTAATACCAAAGGCAAGATAGTGCACCAGATGAACCACAAGAACAATTTAATAAGTACATGGCTTTACTTTCACCAAGATGAATTAGAGAAAGTAAGCTTCATTAAACCAAATACGAATGGAATGAACAGATATCACAATATGAAGCAAGAGCCTACATTACTTGTTCTCTCAGCTGTTTCAATGTCATGCAATTAACTTCTTTATCATCATTCCCTTCTGCCCTCCATACAATGGCCACGCTATCATCCTGCTTGTTGGGGTAATTGCTCGAACGCACACAACTCTCGGCTATATTCAGAACTGAACCAGGAAGCCAGTTACCTCCATGTTTTGACTTGTCAGAGGTATCCAGTATGCATTTAGGGGTTTCCAGAAAGTGAATTGGTAGTTCTTTTAAAACAATTGGCCAGTAAATCTGGAAAAAATTCCAAATTATTAGCTCCAAGTATGAATAGAATGTGGAATAAATCTCAGTAACCCGAAATTCAAATTCAACACTGAAACAAGAACTTGCCTCAGGATGCTGAACAGAAAACCTATGAAATTCTTTAAAACTTGAGATCGGATCCTTGTATGATGCTCCAAAAAGCTTCGGACAATGAGTTTCCATTATGCGGCCCAAATTTGTGCATCTAGATTCATTCCTGCATAGAGAGAGCAGTTGAGTCAGCTGATCAAGAGCAGGAAGCTTCGGGTGAGATAAGTAATATGAAACTCTGAAAACAAAGGTTTCATAACTATAACACTTCCAAGAAACAATGTAAAACATTTCAGCAAAAACTGTATCATTGCTAAATTTATGTGTAAAAATATAACAAAAAGTTAGCAATTTCAACTGCTTGATAGTAGCTTTTTAGTCTTCAAGTTTTATCCATTAACGGAATCTCTTGAAAAAGGTTACTCTTCCTTTATCAAAATGTCTCACAGAATGATCCAGCAAAAAAAATATCACAAAAACATATCACTACAATGGACAGTTAACTTATGTTATCTTTCAAGTTTCAACGACAACTTGGAAATCCGTACAAAGCAAGTCAGTGTAAATCTTCACAAAATTCTACTGCTCATTTTAGTAAAGAAACAGAGAGTAATGATTGCCTGCCTCACATGCAGGTACAACTAGTGGCGGAGCTAGTATTTTTATTAATAACAACATACCCAGTATTATCCCACACCGTGGGGTCTGGGGAAGGTAGTGTGTACGCAGGCCTTACCCCTACCTTGTGAGGATAGAGAGGTTATTTCCAATAGACCCTCGGCTCAGAAAAGCATAAGCACCACATTAATGAAAATATAGACAAGGGACAGTACCAAAAAGCCATATAAAAGCAG